GATTGTTACTTGCTTTAAGTGTTCAATTAGATTTAAACATGAATCATCTTGATGTACCAACCGCTTTTCTTAATGGTGTACTAGATGAAAACATATATATGGAAGTACCAGAATGTTCAGACTTTAAAAATTGTAATAATAAAGTATTGAAGCTCAAGAGAGCAATTTATGGCCTCAAGCAGTCAGCTCTCGCCTGGTATAATAGAGTTGAGGATTGTTTGTTGAAATTAGGTTATAAAAAGTCTAGGTATGAACCATGTTTGTTTGTAAAAAATTTTGAAAATAGTAAAGTTTACATTGCTTTATTCGTGGATGATTTCTTTGTATTCTATGACAATAAAACTGCATATGAGGAACTAATTAGTGAATTAGTTAATAAGTTTAGAATTAAGGATTTGGGTCAAATGAAAAATTGTTTGGGTATGAATATAAATGTTTATAAAGACCATATTACTGTAGACCAGAAACAATTTATAGAGATTATACTGAACAGATTTAATATGTCAGATTGTTTATGTAGTGATACGCCTATGGAAATTAATTTAAAATTGGATAAAGATGTAAACAGCAATCCAGATAGGAAATACCCATACCAACAATTAATAGGGAGTTTGATGTACTTATCTGTATTAACCAGACCTGATATTACATTCAGTGTAAGCTTCTTAACCCATTTGAGCCCGCCGTCCCCATATGGGGACAGGTTTTCTTTTACCCGCTGGTTATTAATTATTTTAGCTATCTTCACATTTCATGGGTATTTATAATAAGGAGTAGTGTACTTTCCTAAAATTATTAGAACTTTTGACAAATTGCTACAAAAAAGGGGTCATATTGTCAATTTTATCAAGAGGAAGTGAAATGGGAATTATTATTGAAAGCAGAGGCGTTTTGTAGTACGTTATTATGAAGATTTATAAATCTTTTTTGTGATTATTGCTTGCTTATAGTGTCAATTAAAACAATATTGAAGAATATCCTTATACTTTCAATTCCGCTTAGGGGAAAGTTAGAAAAAATGATGGTGTCCCCGTATGGGGACAATGGGCACATCTGTAGTATATTTTTAAAACATTTATACCTGATTTGTATTTTGTTTTCCAATTTATAAAGGTCACCTATAGGCTAAACTTAGTTATAGATAATACTTGGTGACAACAGACGCTAATTCACGAAGAGCATCACCAATTCCGCCATATCTTTACGCGTTCATATTCTAAAATCTGATGGGCATCAAGACCGAAGATGCAAAAGTCCACCTACAGTACCAGGCGTCGCATCCGATATCAGAATTCAGCAGTAGAAGGCATTTCCTCCAGCTGTATTCTGGTGTCGTCACAGCGAAGTCCACCCAGAGGATAGAGTAGCATTATGCCCTGTATACGTTGACCACCGCCGTGTCTTCAGAGAAGTGATCGACGACGATAATCTTCCACGTCCAGCTTAGGTTCTGGCTGTGGTGTGGAGCGAGGGGAACTGGAAAACATCTCTTTCTGCGAAGCAGTCATAGTAGCAAGAACAGATCGCCGCCCAGAACCAGACCTGTACCTGTAAGGTGCGTGGCGTTACGCGCGTGCTTCAAAGTGCTGATCAGACCGCCTTAGATCGAGATGGCTCAGTGGGACAGATGCCCGACTACTATGAATAACCTAGTGGGTCACCGGGGCTTCGGCTTGAAGCAGAATTAGGAACGTGTTGGTTTTTAGCCAGTAAGAGTCCCCCAGGCGGAAAACGCAATGCATGATTTATACCCTCAAAAAAAATATAGGCGCGTCACATCAAATTGATTTAGACATTTTCCGCAGAGATTTAGTTAATATCTGTTACGACACTCAGTTCGTCATAAAAAAAACTGTGATATCAATGCAAATAATGCGTTAGAACCTTATTTGTCGAAAACAGTTACTACTTCGAAAAGTACTACACATGAGCCCATTGTCCCCAATCAAGGACGGCATTTTTTTTAATACTTCTAAAAATATTTTTTTAATTTTTTTTGCTTATATTAGTTTGTGGGCGTCATATCATTGAGTTAATAAAGTTTTTTTTATTAAATTATGTGTAGTTTGCATTTGGTCCCAAATGGGTTAAGCCAATATAATAACTGCTTCAATGAGACACATTGGAAACATTTAAAACGTTTATTAAGATATTTAAAAGGTACTAAAGACTATGGTTTGGTATATAGGAAAACCAGTCATCATTTGCACGGCTTTGTAGATGCTGATTGGGCTTCTTGTTCTTTGGACAGGAGGTCATACACTGGATATTGTTTTATTATGTCGGGTTCTGTAGTTTCATATGAATCTAGAAAACAGAAGACAGTAGCACTATCCAGCACTGAAGCCGAGTACATGGCCTTGTCAGAATCATGTAAAGAGGGCATTTATTTAAAGTATTTGTTAAATGAGCTTGTCCAGTGTACCAATATACCATTATGTTTATTTAGTGATAACCAGAGTTCTATTAAAATAGCTTGTAATCCTTTATTCCATAATAAACGTACCAAACATATTGATATAAGACACCACTTTGTTAGGGAATGTGTATTTGATAATAAAGTTAAAATTGAATATGTATCAACAAATAGTATGCCAGCAGATATATTCACTAAGAGTTTATGTAAAGAAAAACATTATTTTCTTAGTTTAATGGGTGTTTCAAAAGTATAGTGTATGTACTGTACATGTGTCATGAAAACTTGTTTATTGTAATTTCTGTCTTAATATTATTATTTTTTTGGGATTTTGGATTATTTTGTTAGGTCAGGATGTAAAATAGATATAACAAAATAATCAATTATTATAGTTACTGCTAATGCCATCTAGTGTCGCTTATGTTAACTTAATAACATTAGAATGAACAGACCGGATGAACGGCTGAGTAATGTTCAAATGTGTTCAATTATATTCAAATATAGTTCAGTTGATTGCAAACCAGCATAGCGTTTTATTACACCCCGGCTGATAATATTTACTTGTTATTGTTTCCTATCTCGTTTATGTCCCTAAAGGCCTTTTAGACGAACCTGTTCAACTGCACAGGGTATGGCATACCATCACGTCAACTTACCCTTTCCTTTAGACAGCAATTTCAACTTTATTTATTTAAGATTAAAGTTTGAAATCCAATAAAAGAATCGTCAGTTCGGGTAGCTTGATGTGCTGTCGTCTGTATATACAACTTCAGTTTTTGTCGAATAAATATTTTTTTATTCGTAAAATGTCAAATATATCCACGTGTATGTAACCAATACGAGTATTGCGAACTAACAGATCACGTTGACATCATTGACAAAAAAGTAAAAGCTTTGTGAAACACGTCAATTTTGTTTTTATAACTTTTTTAAACGAATAAAAAAAACAAGAGGTTGATTTATGTATTTTTTATTATTTTACTTTTCAGTGACGTTTAAATAAAGCTGTTTCTGTTACGTATATTGTTTTTTTTCCGTAGCTTTATGATAGACATTCTATCCTTTTTCGTTTCTTTTATACTTCTATCGCGGTCTGTAGTCCTGGTACTTACATCTGCAATTATTGGCATAGGAATAACTCTCAAAAAATCTCACACAACTTCACAAAAGAGATCTTTTCCCATTTAATTATTTTGTAACTACCTATATAATGTTTTGTAGTTTTACCATTGTTATTGTCACGCTTACTTTTAACACTTTCAATCTTATATAACTTTAATTTAATTTTCTTCTTTTTTCTAATTTTAATAATTTAATTATCGTAATTGTACCATGTTAAAACAATAAATAAATATAAAACTATAATATAGTTGATTTTCTGTCTCTCCATAAATCCACTGTCACTTTTAATGAAATTGTGTGAACGGACCTTTCGAACGTAAAACAGCATTAAATGCAGATAACGCAGTAACACCCAGGGTCGGATCCATACAATAATAAAATCACGTCCTTTGATAAATAGCCACAATAACATTTGATTTGATGTTTCCAAATGGTTCGATACTTGCCGCCGCTTAAAGATTCGTAGAATACATAATTATACTAGCTACTACGATTGATTGATGAGATTATTGCGTTCAAGCAAACAAACAAACGAACTAATGAACGAACGAACGAACAAAGAAACACACAAACTCTTCAGCTTTATACAGGTGTCCCTGAAGTTGCCGATCAAATGGCCCCAGGTGATCGGCAAGGTTCCAACAGTTATCAGAAAAATATTGAAAAAAATGTAAGTCAGACAGTTTCTAAATTACAATGACTTATGTGTTATTCACGAAAAAGTACACTCTGTGCCAGTCTTATGACTCTTGTTGCTACAATGCTTTATTTTTTCGTCTGTATTTTTCTATCTTACGTTATCCTGAATAGTGGTTCAATATTATCGAATCATAAATTATACTTTTAATCCAATCATCATTGAGAACCTTAAGAGAGTCCACAGCGGGATTGTTGGTCTCTTCTATAAAAAAGGAGTTGCTAAAGCTGAGAGGCAGGGGATTTGGATATACATCCATACATAACTTCACGCCTGTCTCCTATAGGGGTAAGAGGCTATGGAACTACAATTGCTACGATTCTTGTATTCTGTTGATTATTATCTGTGTATCAGCCACAAAACGTCTACTGCTGAACATAGGCCTCCCCCAACGACTTTCAGAAAGGCCGGTTGGAAACGACCTGCATTCAGCGGCTCCCTGTGACTTCAATCAAGTCGTATGACACATATACTTATTTCATATAGTACGTACTTTCATTTTGATTAAACAAATTCCTTCCTTCTTCAGTAATAATACAATGACATTAATTTTAATTTGAGGGCCGCAAATCAAATTAATATTCACCATGTTGTTATAATAATTAAGCATTATGTGTTGCCGAAACGAAATTATATGGAGGGAAATTCGCCTAATAAATGTGTAATAATGTAATGTGTTTCATTCACAATTTTGCAGTTCTCGTACAAGTAATTATGTGGCAGCGCATAAAATGTAATCAGTGTCGGATCTACGCTACGAATAATTAGTCTGAGTACTGTGTTTAACTGACTGTGTATGGGACTAATGCACGAATATTGAAACATTTGTTAAATATTACTAAGTATTTTTTATGGTATAAGTCGGTAAACGAGCGGACGGGTCACCTGATGGTAAGTAATCGGCGTCGCCCATGGACACCTGGAACACCAGAGGCGTTACCGGCCATTTGGGGATTAGGAGTTTGAGGATCGTTGGGGATTCAGGGATGGAAGAGATTGGGGAAGGGGTGGGGTAATTGGGCCTCCGGTAACCTCACTCACACGACGAAACACAACGCAAGCGTTGCTTCATGTCGGTTTTCTGTGACGCCGTGTTCGTATTTAGGTATAACACTTATGTGTTATATTAGCTGGATTTAAATTATTTATGTAGAGCAAAGAGCATCGCTTCCTAATCGACGCGAGTCATTATAAGGTTTAAACCGTTATCTACGAGATCCTATTGAAAAAAGTACATATATTATACATTATGAAGGCACGTGATTTAGTACCAAATCATATTATGGTCTTGATATGTTCAGGTACGTTAACATTTTTTAAGTATAAACATGCAACACGAAACTCTCAATAATAGTATGATTTGACGACATAAGAAATAGTAACGGACTCTATAGTAACATTTAACTTTTGATCAAATATGATCCAGAAAAGAAGGGCTGCATTGTTTGGAACAAAATATAATAAATCATTTTAATAGCCCTTTAGAACTAGAAATAAATATAACAAACAACAGTTGTTTCTTAGCTATACAGCAGTAAAGGGAAACCATTAATTAATAACTTACATAAAGGGAGACAATTTCCTTAAAGATTAAAACTGGACATTTTTTTATGACATAAGCTGGCCTTTTGAGGATTAGGAGTTTGAGGATCGTTGGGGCTTCAAGAATTGGGGAGATTAGGGAAGGGGAGGGTAATTGGGCCTCCGCTAACCTCACTCACACGACGAAACACAACGCAAGCGTTGCTTCACGTCGGTTTTCTGTGAGGCCGTGGTATCACTCCGGTCGAGCCGGCCCATTCGTGCCGAAGCTCTCCCACACTTAAGCGCAAACGGTGCAAGTTCATCGCATCAAGTCTCAAGTTTACGAAAACGCTCAGCATGTTTTGAAACAACAATGAAAGTAGAAAACATAAGTTTCCTTCGACACTACTAAGTATTTTTTTTTTTTTTAAGTGGGGAAAATCATCGAATGACTGCTCCCGCCTGGGTGAGGCGGAAGGGAGTGTCAGACTCTTACTGACTAAAAACCACCCCGTTCCTTCTCCTGCACGTCGAGCCGGAGCCCCGGTTACCCGTTGGGTTCTCCGCGACTCCGAATCGGCATCGGCCCTATTGGGCCCCATCTGTGGTGGTCTGATGGCTCTTTGAGGCGCTACTAAGTATATATATGAGACACTACTAAGTATAACGCCATTTTATTGATTCAAATAAAGACTTGCTTACTAAGAGTTTCATATAAAGTTTGTCCAATATAAATGCGAGCTCAGATCGTAAATGTATCGTTCTGTTACTGTGGGAAGGTGTTTTTATATTTAGTCATAAAACACACGTGCCCTCCAACCCTAGTGTCGTTACTTCAAGCACTATTTTTGTAACAAAGACTTGAAAGGTCATTGAACCCAATGTCCGTGTATAACTACAGTGAAAGTACAACCTCATTATATTTAATTTGATTGTGAAAAGTACAAAACAAATTTCAATTTCTTTTAGAAATCTTCATCAGCCAATAATTTAGAAAATAACTTCCAGTAAAATAGGTCTCAATAACGTTATGAGCAAGTCTTTTTTACGCTCCAATTTTCCGAGAGTCATTCTCATACGAGAACGATAATTTTACTCCAACGCCTAAAATACCAAAGATGTTTATACGCTGAATATTTTAGGTCTCTTTACAAAAATAAATGACCCTGTCTAACCTTTTTCACACAATACCATTATGAAAGGAACAAACATGTTTACATACTCTCCTTTAGCTTGAACCACGAAGCTATTACTTGGGTCACCCTAGTTGGATACAAAACAATTTTAATATGATATTAAAAAATAGAAAAGAATGTTAATGAGTATGCCTTTACGGTCCTTATTAGCATAATATATGAAAAAGGCTACAAAGTTACGGCTGACGCTCCTGAACAATATGAGTTTTATCTTTTTGTTTTTATGTATTTTGGAATAAAAGAACAAAGCTGTGTTAGAACTTCTCTAGGTACAACAAAAAGGTTAAATATAGCGAGGAAACGACTTGGTAATAAAATAAAAAGTTGTAAAATAATAAGGACATTGACCTAGGTAGGCACATAGGAACTTTCAAGGCAAATGAGTTCTAGTCCTAATAATTTTATTAAAATACGTCACAACAATCATTCTGAGGCTTCCTCTACTAACCCAATACACATGGAAATATATTATCATCTTTTACGTAATACAGTCCAGTGTCCACAGAATCCCGTTTAATATTAACTACAGCAGTTCTATCTCATATATGTATCTGGGGTAAGTAAGGGCGGCGAGTTACCATCGTTAAACCTTTATTGCTTCGACAGATGTTTATGAATTATGTCTACCCGAAGTGATTCATAAATCTTATATTTTTTTTCTGCAAATGTTAAATTATTGTTCTTAATAAAATCCGGAATTTTGTTTTCTGCTTCGACATTAAAAGGGAATAATTTGGAGTCGGCGCCTCACTTTTGCATCGTAATTTGAGTGAATATACAGAATACTTCACTCGAAGAATTATTAAAATTTAATTTTATATTTTTATTTTGCATGTTTTTTTATTTACAAATCATTTCTGTAGTTAAATGCTCTCGTTCTTATTAGTTTAAAAAAATATTTTATTTACCTTTTCTATCGTTATTTTCTAGTATCTAAGGCCTAAGGCATCTCATATTCCTTTTTACAGTTCACTAGCTTTTCCCGCAACTTTGTGCGTGCATACAAATCTCGTTTGTATATTATGGAAAATCCTCTTACTGCTCCCCTACAGTCCCTAAGGAATCTACATGCTTTCATCTCTGTAGGAGTGTAGGTACCACCAATAGTTTTAATTTTACGCAGGTCACTAAGTCACTAGGTCACTAGTAGCGGACGATTTTTATACCGCGTATAATGTATGTCGCGGAGAACCTAACGGGTTACCGGGGCTCCGGCTCGACGAGCAGGAGAAGGAACGGGGTGGTTTAGTCAGTAAGAGTCTGACACTCCCTCCCGCCTCACCCAGGCGGGAGAAGTCATTCGATGATTTTCCCCCCTTAAAAAAATACCTATACCTAGTATTGATTTGATATTTATCTCCAAATACGAAATAACGTTATTGGTTGACCAAATGACTATCAAACAACCAGCATCGGACGTTTTGATCCTCACTAAATCGGGCTATTTGATTTATCGAGTTTATTGGTATCGACATCGCATCTGAATTCACCATTAACTTGTGTTGTAAATCTTAGTAACTATCGGTTAAATCGGTTAGTTTACCTTATTTGAGATCGGACCGACTATTGATAAAGTTGTGATCGATAAAGTTTAAAGGCGAAACTTCGGATGGTGTTTAAGGACATGTCCGTACTGTTGTTTGATGTTAGACACGATGATCCTATAAATGTGGTTGTTGTTGTACTTTGAACTTTGTGAACTTGAGTGGTATGTCTGGTTTTAAGTGACACGTGTGACATTTTATAGGGTGTGTTTGTGTTAAGGAGTAGTGATACAAAGGTGTTTACTTTTCGAGTGGTTCTTAGTTCTGTTTGATTTGAGAATAAGCGGAATGCTTTTTGCGATTGAGATGTTAAAAAGTACATAAATAAAAGTTAAAAAAAAGAACACAGGACGTGTTCATAACTCGAGAGGTGGGCAGGCTAGTGACTTAATGAATAGTTAGTTCAAGTAGAACTTCGCATTATAAAGCAAGATACGTGTATAATGGTAATTACAGTTGAGAGCTACTCGCTCTTAGGTGAGTTTCCATCTTTCATATTCATTTTAATAGACGTAATTATTTAAAGAAGTGCACCGTAATGTACTCTGCGCTTTTAAAAAGAATTTCTGCTCTCAAGAGATAATGAGATTCTTGTAGAACGGCGTGTGGCGTCTGATATAATGCGATCGCTTAAATGTAGGTACTGACGTTGTAAAACTAGACTCGAAATATCGTAAAATGAAACATTAATTACATTTTTATCGGTAAATATACACCAACGCCAACAAGACCCATTTTGCGGTAAATAAGTTCATAAAAAGTAGCAAGAAATTTTCACTTGCAATTTCTGCAGCATTTCCTCGCTGAGCATTGCATTAATGTTTTTCACGTAGGGTTTCAGTGGACTACATTTAGAACGTTCTACTACCGTCTGTCGGACGTAAAAAAAGGACAATAAATGACGCTGTCACTTGCAGTCAGCTAGGGCTAACGAATATGAATGGTGCACCGCTATGCCCCGGTCAACGCCTCGCTGGCAACTTTAAAAATTGATATTATGAAGAAAAATTTAATAATATATTTTTTCTACCAGAATTAATTAGGGAAAAGCTCGGGTTTGTGAGACTGGTCGTAAAATATCTGGTGTTGGGTTGAATTTTATTGTTATTGAACGTGAAACATGGACGGACGGGTTCATTTGCATGACTTTAGGGTTGAAACGTGATGTTTGGCTATTGGGATTGACAAAAATTTAATATAACAGTGATTTTGAATACGATTGTCATTTTTCATTGAACTGATTTGTAACGATATGTAGGTACTAATGCATTTATTAAGGTGTGTATATGAATAAACAAAAATGTTGCCTGAATATTTTTGTTTATTTTCGTAAACGAAATATACTAATTGATATGAATATCTAAGTATGTACATACATACAACATTTTTACATTTGTAGCAGGAGTGACTGAGAAGTATCAATTTCTATCTAATGTAGATTAACATAGCATAGTTTATATCATAAAAAAGTAAGTAAGTAAGTCATTGTTTTTATAATAACTATCGTGAGACATACTAAATTAACTAAAAGTCGCGGG